GAGCATGTGTCTGTCATGCTCCTTTGCGGTTCCCACATCCTGTGCTGGGAATTGTGGGAACCACAGGGAGCATGACAGACACATGCTCCTCCTCCTCCTCCTCCTTCCGTGTTAGTCAGAGGAATGCCGCCGGACCGGCGAGGCTGCCACCCGGTCCGGCGGCTGCAGCATGAAACGGCCGGCCCCCCCTCACACCGGACCGGCCACCCGGTGGCACCTGCAGTCCCCAAATGCCGCCCCCAATCCAGCCCTGCCGCCGGGCCCCCTGAAGGCGGCCCTGGCGGCGGGCCCCCCTCCCGGCCGGGCCCTCGGACCGTGTCCAAAGTGCCCGACCGGTCAGTCCGCCCCTGCCCCTAACAGTACTTTGATTTCAAGGTCCTTCATTGAGTGGCTAGGCTGGGTAAAATGCTGCCCTTCAGGAGTGCAGTAAGATCCTTCTTTCTGGTGTTTAATAGAGTGTCTGTGCATATTCATTCTGCCATTTAATGGCTGGGTGGTTTCCCCAATGTAGCATCCTAGGTGGCATTTGGTGCATTGAATCATGTATACCACATTGCTGGATGTGCAGGAATATGATCCTTTAATGCCGTAGGTTTTATTGTTGTGTGTGGCTGTGTGCTGACAGATTGCAGCGAGTTTTTTTGCATTGACTTGTCTCGTTTTCTTTATTCTTCCCATCAGTGGGTAGCTTCCTGTTGATTAATTATTGTGGGAGGTTTGGTGGTTGTCTGAAGGCCAAAATGTGTGTTTCAGAGAAAAAAAATTTTCAGAGTATCATCTTCCGTTAACATTGGTTGAGGGTCTTTAATGATTTTTTTTTTTCTGTATTTCCTCAAGAGCTGGGTTGTAGGTGACCACAAGTGGCACTTGTGTACAGAGAGAAAAAAAATATCTACACGAGTGCCACTTGTTCTATCAAACCTGTCTTATCTGCACTCATGTCGCTTTAACCCCTGTGTCACAAGTCAACTTTGAATTCTGTGTCGTCTTGCTCAGAAATGCTTCAGACCTGAGAAAGGGAGGTTCTCCCGAAAGCTTGTCATTAAAAATTCTGTTAGTCCAAAAAAAAAGGTATTACAAGATACAAATGTTATCTGTTTTATTTATTTATATATATATATATATATATGTATGTATGTATGTATGTATGTATGTATGTATGTATGTATGTATATATATATGAAAAAGAGATCCTGCACTCCATCAACTGCAAAGAAATTCCAATGCCCGGTGCTTGTCCAGCACAATATAGAAAGACAAATAGGATAGCACTCTCAGGACTATATAAGAAAAATAAAACTTAACTTTTAATAACTTAGTCCAAAAATCAACGTTTCAGTCTGTTAATACCAGACTTTCATCAGGATTGATACACACATAATCATAATGAACATATACAGGGAGTGCAGAATTATTAGGCAAATGAGTATTTTGACCACATCATCCTCTTTATGCATGTTGTCTTACTCCAAGCTGTATAGGCTTGAAAGCCTACTACCAATTAAGCATATTAGGTGATGTGCATCTCTGTAATGAGAAGGGGTGTGGTCTAATGACATCAACACCCTATATCAGGTGTGCATAATTATTAGGCAACTTCCTTTCCTTTGGCAAAATGGGTCAAAAGAAGGACTTGACAGGCTCAGAAAAGTCAAAAATAGTGAGATATCTTGCAGAGGGATGCAGCACTCTTAAAATTGCAAAGCTTCTGAAGCGTGATCATCGAACAATCAAGCGTTTCATTCAAAATAGTCAACAGGGTCGCAAGAAGCGTGTGGAAAAACCAAGGCGCAAAATAACTGCCCATGAACTGAGAAAAGTCAAGCGTGCAGCTGCCACGATGCCACTTGCCACCAGTTTGGCCATATTTCAGAGCTGCAACATCACTGGAGTGCCCAAAAGCACAAGGTGTGCAATACTCAGAGACATGGCCAAGGTAAGAAAGGCTGAAAGACGACCACCACTGAACAAGACACACAAGCTGAAACGTCAAGACTGGGCCAAGAAATATCTCAAGACTGATTTTTCTAAGGTTTTATGGACTGATGAAATGAGAGTGAGTCTTGATGGGCCAGATGGATGGGCCCGTGGCTGGATTGGTAAAGGGCAGAGAGCTCCAGTCCGACTCAGACGCCAGCAAGGTGGAGGTGGAGTACTGGTTTGGGCTGGTATCATCAAAGATGAGCTTGTGGGGCCTTTTCGGGTTGAGGATGGAGTCAAGCTCAACTCCCAGTCCTACTGCCAGTTCCTGGAAGACACCTTCTTCAAGCAGTGGTACAGGAAGAAGTCTGCATCCTTCAAGAAAACATGATTTTCATGCAGGACAATGCTCCATCACACGCGTCCAAGTACTCCACAGCGTGGCTGGAAAGAAAGGGTATAAAAGAAGAAAATCTAATGACATGGCCTCCTTGTTCACCTGATCTGAACCCCATTGAGAACCTGTGGTCCATCATCAAATGTGAGATTTACAAGGAGGGAAAACAGTACACCTCTCTGAACAGTGTCTGGGAGGCTGTGGTTGCTGCTGCACGCAATGTTGATGGTGAACAGATCAAAACACTGACAGAATCCATGGATGGCAGGTTTTGAGTGTCCTTGCAAAGAAAGGTGGCTATATTGGTCACTGATTTGTTTTTGTTTTGTTTTTGAATGTCAGAAATGTATATTTGTGAATGTTGAGATGTTATATTGGTTTCACTGGTAATAATAAATAATTGAAATGGGTATATATTTGTTTTTTGTTGTTGCCTAATAATTATGCACAGTAATAGTCACCTGCACACACAGATATCCCCCTAACATAGCTAAAACTAAAAACAAACTAAAAAATACTTCCAAAAATATTCAGCTTTGATATTAATGGTTTTTTTGGGTTCATTGAGAACATGGTTGTTGTTCAATAATAAAATTAATCCTCAAAAATACAGCTTGCCTAATAATTCTGCACTCCCTGTATAGTAAAATACAAATTGTTAATCAACTTACCCTACACCAAAACACTTGTTCCTCCCTCTCAGCACAGTCTGTCTCCCACTTGGGTTCGGCCGGCGTCCGGGCGCACATCAATGACGTCATCACGTGACGCCGGCGTCATGACGTCATCACGTGATCGAGCGACCGGCAAGGTCATTGGGAGCTAGTTGCTAGGACAGAAAAAGCATCCTAGCAACTAGTAACTAAAAACAAATCACATCAGTGCAGACCAGAAGGCAGAAAACGGACTTACAAAAGGCAACAGTAAAAAAGCATCACAATATAAACACAATAGCAATACACTATGAATCCACATCCAGGCAATATTGGTATATTTAGAAAGTATGTATCTGTCTCAACAATTAAAGCTCAAGGCTGTATTCCCCCCTTGCTTAAATATGTATTTAAATAAGTGCCAAAAAGTACCTACACTTATTTAAAGGGATAGTAGCACTAATACATAAATGATGATTAAGGGCTGTAACAAAAGATATATATAATCCTATCTAGATTGTAGTACAGCAATGATAATAAAATAAACCTATCATGAATAATAATCCAGCTCCAAATCCTATTTTATCAAACACCAAAACAAAATTTATAATCACAAGAGACCTCACTATATCATACTAGCCAAAAGATAGAAAAAAGGTAAGATAAGGGGATCTATGGACTGGCTAAATACTAAAAAAAATTTTTTTGCTACAGCCCATACAACTATAATGAATATTAACCTCCTAAATGCCATGTACCCACAGCCTATAAATTAAACAACAATAGATTTTTTAGATGGTTAAAAAATGACACCAAAAGGAAAACAGTATAAATCTGGACTACGGATTAGGTGGCTAACCCCCAGGGCGGGCCATCTTAGTCACTTCCAGAAACAAGCGTATCTTACAAAAACGCAAATCTTACAAAAAAGCAGATCTTACAAAAAAGCCGATAATGAATATTTTTCATTAAGTCCCTCTGGATATACAGTTTGTAAAGTTCTAATCCAGAACAGCTCCCGCTGAAGGAGCAACTTTTTACGATCTCCACCTCTTCTCGGCACAGGAACATGGTCAATCGCCATCAATTTCATGGAAGACAAAGGATGTCCAAGTTCTAAAAAATGCTTCGCCACCGGCAGTTCTGACTTATTATCCCTATAAGCAGTTCTGATGCTCGATCTATGGTTACGGATTCTCTCTCTCAGGGGTAAATCCGTTTTACCCACATACGTTAAACCGCAGGGACACATCAGTTTGTAAACAACAAAATCACTTGTGCAAGTAAGACGGTGACGAATGCAAAAACTGGCCCCTGTGTAAGGATGTGAGAATGTTTTCCCTGGGATCATATGACCACAGGTAACACACCCGAGACAACGGTAACATCCTAAATTTTGTGGGACAGATTCCTTGGAGTAGCAATGGAAAGGGTCAGTATTGACCAACAAATCTCTCAAATTTTTATTCCTCTTATAACAGACCATGGGAGGGTTCTGAAATATGGGAGGTAATGTAACGTCATTTCTTAACACCCTCTAATTTTCCTCAATGATCCGTTTAAATTTAGAGGATGTTATGGTGAAAGTAGTTGGAAAGATCAATTTGTTGGTCGTTGTCTTTGGACTAGGGATTCTTGCTGAGTCAAGGCACTTATGAAGTGCTTTGGATAAAGTCTGACCAGTGTATCCATGTTGTCGAAATTTATCCCACATCATATCCAATTGTTCCTGTGCGCGATTTAAATCAGAGTTGTTCCTCAGGACTCGCAAGAATTGTGAATAAGGCAGCGAATCTTTTAAAGACTGCGGATGAAAGCTGTTCGCCTGTAGAATGGTATTTCGATCAGTGGGCTTTGAAAATTTAACCAGCTGAAGAAGCCACCTAGCGAAACGCGTTCTGGAAAGCGAAGTGAGCACTGAAAAACTTCATTTTGGACTTTATTGGACTTTATTTCAGCCATATAAGTGTTTTATTTTTTCTACATATATATATATTTTTATAATGTGTTACAATTTTATAGTCAATAAATGAGATATATTTTTTAATACACTTATGGCTTTTTCCTGCTAATTGAAAGAAGGAGTGTGGTCCTTAAACCACATATGCGCATTGAAGTGAGCCTATAGACTGGCTCTGGGTTTGTGAGTACCAAATTTACTATTTTAAAATTCTCATAATAATAACAACTATACTACACTATATACCCCCTCCTGTATCCATATAGGACTGGATCAAAGAAAGGAGAAGAAGGGAGAGGGTCGCCTATACGGATCCTAAAGCACCTAATTCTGAGCTAGATTTATAGCTCAGAAAATTGTGAGTTGACACTTGGCCCTTACTTTAAAATTATTTCCACCTATTTACATACAATCTGCACTATGTTATGTATTTTTTCCATTTTTTACCTTAAGGTTAACAAAGAATAACTGATTAACATAGAAGAAAAATTGGGTAAACTTTTTTATTCAATTCTGCACATAAGCGCTACACCGTTACTACCTAGGGCTTTGAAAATAGCGTGTAAGCCAAGCCTGACTCTTCCCGTAGAACTCTAATGTCTAAAAAATCGACTGTGCTTGGGTTCAATACTGCTGTAAATTTAATGTTATTCGTGCAGGCATTAATGCACCGAATCATGTCTTCCGCTTCCGATATAGAGCCTTTAAACAACATAAAAATGTCATCGATATATCTGACATAATGAAGGATGTAGTACTTATAAGGTTCCAAAATATGGCAGGTCTCGTAGCAGTACATATAACCATTGGCATACATCGGTGCCATTGCTGCACCCATTGAAGTCCCTGCAGTCTGTCTGTACCAATCCATCTCAAACCTGAAATAATTTTGAGAAAGTACTATATCCAAGAGTTCCAAGATAAATTCAATTGGAGGTCCTGAATAATGTATAGAGCTAGAAAGTATTGATCTCATAGCTTCAATACCTTCGTTATGTGGTATAACTGTATACAGGCTCGATACGTCACATGTCACAAGGACCACTGGTTCGACAGGTAATTCAATTTCTGAAAGGAGCTTAACGAAGCTGGGAGTGTCCTTTATGCATGTTGTTAAATGACCAATCGGTTCCTTGAACAAAAAATCTAGCCATTTGGCTAAAGGTTCCAAAACTCCCCCTACTGCTGATACAATAGGTCGACCAGGGGGTCTATCCTTATTTTTGTGTATTTTTGGTAATGTATATAGTACCGGGGTCCTAGGAGAGGAGGGTTTTAGAAATTGATATAATTCCATGGAAATATAGTTAGAATGTAATCCTCTTATAAGACAATTGTCTATAAGATGTATAACTTCATCTGTAGGATCCTTGTCCAATTTCTCATATGTGGATTCATCGGATAATTGTGATAGAATTTCCAGACGATAATCAGAATAATTCTGGATCACAATTCCACCTCCTTTATCCGCAGGTCTGATTACAATCTTTTTATCTTGTGCCAGGGATTTAATAGCCCGATCATTCTTGGTGCAATTTGAATGATATTGGTGTTTCTTATTTAAAACCTCAGTAGTCTCTTTCTGTACTGATCGTAAGAAAGATTTGATGGAGGCTTGATTAGGCATTGGATCAAACGTGCTTTTGGACCTAAATGTATGGCTCAGGTTGGAGCTTTCTACTGATTTAGATTTAAAAAAATCTTTAAGTCTCAATGAGCGACCAAATTTGTATAGTTCAACTTCCCACTCCAGAGCATTAGGTCCAGAAGTGGGAACAAAGGATAATCCCTTACTTAGCAAAGATGTTTCATCCAAAGTGAGTGGTCTGGAGGATAAATTGAAGATCGGAACTATATCTGATATCGAGGTGGCCTCCCTCTTGCCCCAGAAGGTACGCCCCTTTTGGCCCCGTCTAGTAATATATCTCCTCCTGGTGCTCCGTGTCTGCTCCGAAACCTGGTCCGTATCCCCAAACCGTCTGTTGTTGCAGTGTCTAAAAAAGGCTGTGCAGTACCCACTGTACTTACAGATTGATTAGCTGAAACTGACTCCAATACAGGTTCGGAGTCAGAGGTGGATTCCCCCAATGTTTTATCTATTGTGTACTGCCTAGGTTTACGAATAGGTCTTCGTTTCTTGATAAAATGTGGTACTTCAGATTTCCCACTCAGCCATCTGTAAACACGATGTTCTTTGTAATCAGCTAATACTTTGGCCTGTTTTTCTCTTTTAAATCTGATCAAATCTGTTTTGTAATTCTTAATGTTGTCTTCTAATTTTAATAATGTGTGAGCAGCCTCAGATGATGATAACAGAATCGCTTGTGTCGTTTCTAGTTCGGCAATTCTTCTTCTGACATGAATCTAATCCTCCTTGACATCCTCAATAATGATTAGCATTAAATCTAATGAACATTTATTTAATACCGCAATCCAGCGTTTACACACCTGTGGCTTCAGCCGGCCAATCGTAGGGATATTTTTAATCCGAAAACCCCTAGGGATTTGTAGTTTCCTATGGTACTCAGAAAGGAATAATCCATGCAGGTCCAAGTCAGTCTCACGTTTTCTTAACCTCACTAGTTCAAAATAAACATCCCTAAGGGACGTAGTGTTAGGTAATTCAGAGGTAGATGCTGTCCATCTTATCCGATCTGCATCTTCCTCACTGTATTGCCATGTCTCTGCCTGTTCTGATAGGCCCCCAGCCAATGTGAAAAATTCTTCCATAATTGAAAAATACAGGTAAAAGCAGATAAATCCAAAATTGTATATACAAATATGTAGACACTAACCAACCAGGTCACTGAGACAGTGAACCCATTTAAATCAAAAATATTAAAGCAGAGGGTGCATAGAAAGTCAGCTCCTGCCACAGAGCCATACATACAAAAGAAAAAGAGATCCTGCACTCCATCAACTGCAAAGAAATTCCAATGCCCGGTGCTTGTCCAGCACAATATAGAAAGACAAATAGGATAGCACTCTCAGGACTATATAAGAAAAATAAAACTATATATATAGAATTCACTTTGAATGCTGACAATTCTCAGTTTAGTAAATAATCCTGTATCAGTTTTGATGAGTTAGACAGTAAGGAAAGCCCTGTGCCCTTATTTTTCTGAAGTGATTATCGCAGCACATTAATATGTATTGCGTTAATGTTTAGCATTACACTTTTATCAACAATGATTTGACTTGAATCATATAATGACACAAATGCTGTATACAACATGGCCCAAAGTTATCTTGCAACATTGTAAGAGTTTCCATCTTGCAGTTCACATATTGTAACCTTGGCTGGACCCTTCTGGCAGCAGATATGAATGGAGACAGAAAGAAAGATCTCGTTATTGGATCCCCATATGCTCCAGGTGGTGGGAAGCAGAGGGGAGTCGTGGCTGCATTTTATTCACAAAGAAGGCGTAGAAGAGGTGATATGTTGCAATAAACAGTATATATGGATAGTTAGAGAGTTTCAGACAAAGCATTATAGCCCAAATCACCATTACATATTTCACAAGATTAAAGGCATACCCTAAGCACCAAATTTTTTTTAGCATAACCCTGTAATGATGCATGTCGGAGTTATTCCGTCATGGTTGTCTTTCCTACAAATGGGCTGAAAAGTAAAAATCCTTTTTCATTCATATATTCATTGGTAGTACATTTTAAAAGAGCTTGCAAAAACTACAGTTCTTATGAGCTGCAGCCTTTGCAACCTCTCCAATTACCCCCAGAACAGTCTCTTCATGGGGTTAATAGTCAGAGGCTTCTCACTGAGATTCTCTCCCTTTGCTTCTGGCTGTATACAGGCATTTAAATGGAGTTTTAGATCTCCTTTGCTACAATGTGATGTAAGCAGGATTTAGCGCAAGGCTGATAAGACATTTGCCTTGGGTGGAACTTTTAGGAGGACGCCGCCCCCTAATGCCCTGGCAGATACCTTGTCAGCCTCTTGTCCTTGGTGCCGAAGAAGTGGCTGGCTGGCCACATTGCGACCATCCCCCATGACTTGGTTCCCCTCTGTCAGCTGGTTCCATTTGTATTCGCCCAGACTGACAGCTGTGTTGCAGGCAGCACTGAAAGTCAGCCCAGCATACAGATCTTTAAATGGGGAGGCTGTAATACAGTGTGAGCAGACTTAAATCCCTGCTCACACCATGTAGAGAAAGCTATCAATCAACACCTGGGGCTTCCTTTTGTCTTATGAGGCAACTATTAGTCACCCCAGCTTGACAGGTGAGCTGTATGAAGTGCTGAAAATCAGCACTGCATGCAGCCTTTTATATCTGTTGAGAAGCCACAGTGATTCTCTGTGAGGTGCTTGCTTGTGGGAGACCCCATGGATTGGCAGGGTCTCTGAGAGGGTCTCTCTCTATGCCCAATGCCATTTTGATCAGTTTTAAATTTGACAATTGTATAAGATTGAGGATTAATATAAGGTTTAAAATGAAGTTTAAAGTTGGATTTAGGATTAGGTTTTGGAGTAGTGTTCAGATTAGGATTTTAATTACAATTTTTAATTATTAACATTAGGATTAGTGCCAGCAAGGAAATCCCTCTGCTGAAATCGGCAATGGAATCGCTCTGCTGACATTAGGAGAGTGAATTCTTCTAACACTATTGCTAGGGTTATGATTAGAATTAAGATTTGGATGATTAGGATTAGGCTTAGATGTGGGATAGGTATTTGGTTTACAGTTAGTGTTTGGTTTAGCATTAGGGATAGGATTAAAATTGCTGTACTCCAAGATGTTGTTGAGTACAGTTAAGATAATTGTATTACAGTAGTAAACATACGATTTAAAAACAAGCGGCACAAATACAACGTGTATGTATAAATAAAAAATGAATACCACAAACTTTGAGGAAGATGAAGCTGGGGGAAAGACGGAGATACAGCTGAGGAGAGAGAGGGAAATGAAGCTGGGAGGAGATGTTGTCTGTAATCCGGAGGGCATTATTATTAGTATTGGCATTTATATAGTGCCACATATTTCAACTGCACTTTACAATATTATAAAGGGTAAAATGTAACAATAAATGAGACAATTACAAAATGTTACAGGAATGATGAGGACCCTGCTCAAATGAGCTTACAGCCTACATTAGATGGGTTAAACAAACACTATAGGAAGGGCATCAAGGGAGATAGCAACCAAGCAACAAGGTGGGAATGTAGCAGAACTGAAAGGTGAGAGTGAAGTGTGATCCTTTAAGCGATACCTTTACTAAAGTGATGGGTTTTGAGGGACTTCCTAAATGATTGAAGACTAGGCAGACTTGTAATGCTACAGGTGGGACAGTGTGTGTGTGTCCATACAAATGCTATCTACATAGTTACCAAACATGTAAAGTATAAAACAATTACATGTTTGGTATTATTATGTCTTCAGACAGGCTCTCTGTAGAAGATGCAGAATGGAGTGTTACTGGGGAACATAACTATGCCTGGTTTGGTTACTCTCTCCATGGCCATAAATTCAAGAAGATTACATTGTTATTGGTCGGTAGTCCAACATGGAGCAGCTGCAAAAGGTTTGACATAATTATTTCAGTTTTTTTTTCTGTTATTGGAAAATAACAAAATGCACGTTCTAATATATTGCATTTAAAAAAAAATTCTCAGTTTTAGTGTATTATTTATAAATGATACATGATAATATTTTAACATATATCAGTTTGTTAATGTATACAGTATCTGTTTCAGCAGCAATGAATGTGATTATCCTGGTACTAGCTCACAGAGTATGGGGAAGGTTTATGGCTTTTATCCACCAAGCAAGAATATATCCTTTGTGTTACTTGGTGATACAGTAAGTACAGTTTTTTTTGTGTTTTTTTTAAATACTGAGGTAGAGGTGTAATCATGATATGACAGGATCTATTTTTCAGCACCAAGGAGCTCCATGTGAGTGGTGAACTCTCATACACGCTATATATACCTAATCCCTAAATCACCCAAAAGGCTCACAATCTCTAAATCTCACTATATATATCCAGTATGTCATTCACATGATTAACGTCCTGTAAAACTCTAGTACCTGACGTTGCCTAAATCTGCGCAATGTTACAGGACAAAAGTTACCATGTGACACAAAATCTGACTTCTTAGCAAACACAAGTATAATGTGTTGTCTGTAATCAAAGCACTCCAGCTTCAGATCACAATTAATTGAATCAAGTAGAAACATTGCCATTACATTTGAATCCAGTCAGACAAGGTGGTGAATGTCTTGTGTAAAGATTCTAATCCCTTGGCTGGAAGGATCAAAAATGTCCAATGTTACTGATAAACCTATGCCTGTCTGTATCTTTCTATCCTTGAAGGTCGGCTGCATCAAAGAGTTGGACCTCTCTGTTAAACTAGCCTTGGCCAAGTCAAACGCCTTTGCACAATCATGAGATATTTCATAACTAGAGTTTATGCAGGTCATTGCCTGGTTTATAAATCACAGACTGTAGTGTTGATTTGAGATGGTATTTGTGGTGTTGGTTTTGGCTTTCATTGGTTGTTCTAATCCTTTGAGGGGGAGCTTTTTCCACATGAGGAGAATGTTAGTCTCGTCTGGGGGAAAAGGGGAAGGCTTGCATAGGCTACAGTTTGTAAGAGTTGCAGCTTTTGCAAGTTTTTCTTTACAATATACCACCAATGCAAACATGCATGCATGCATTAATTGGGAGGTTATCTACTAAATAGTGAATTCTACTTTATTGCCCATTTGGACAGTGGAGTGTCCATCTAACCTTATGGTTAATCCTGTTCTGCTTTCAAGACATCATTGGCTACATTTTAATCACACCTTTTACAAGGATATTACCTTAAAGCTTTGACTACCCCATACTTGACTTTATTTAGTTCCTCCGCTCCATAATGAGAGCTTTAGTAGTTGCTCAGGATTGTGTGGAGCACATATCACCAAGTGCTTAGATTTCCATATCCCATATATTCTGTAGCCATATCCTTTCATCGTTTTAGAAGGGAGATCAGCTAAAAGTTACCCTGTTTCTGCATTTTCTATAGACGTTCAGTTGATTATATGATGTAATTTCATGGGGTTTATTCTGCATATTATTTTGATAAGTGCCTTTCACTAAATGCTTTTATAGTTAAATTTATCCTCAAATGTGTAATGAAACGTTAGATTATTTACTGAACAGCAGAAACTACATCATCATTAAATGACAGGGTGGCTTAATTATCATGCACACAGACTTCGTAGTAATGCAAGCACAATACATCTCAATAACAGTAATAAAGTGTTACATAATAAAATAGAACATTATTATGGCATAACTGTATTATACACATAGGCAGAATAACCAAGAATAAGAACTAGTATCAGTTTTTGAAACTTAAAAGATTTACAATGAAACCATATTTTCTATTTGTCAAAAATGTTATGCAGGGCTCCACATGAATGTTCTATTTTCAGCTTTTAAAAGATTGAGATTTATGAAAGCTAAGATTGTAAATTGGAGTTATTAGTAAACGCTAGATGATATACTTTTTTAAAAAATATATAATTTTGCAGGAGCAGAGCAAACTTGGCTCATCATTTGCCAGTGGAACTTTATCAATCAATGGGATTCATAAACAAATACTGCTGGTTGGAGCGCCAACTCAGGGTATGAAGTCCCTTCAATGACTATGCCTTCAGTGAATAGCACTACATAAACAACTGTTTAGAGATGATTTTACTATGATTTTACTAAAAATGGTTTAGCAGATTATTGCACGCACACAATAACTACGAAGAAGTAGGCAGAAGTATAGATCAGAGTGTTGCAGTGGATTGGATTTCTCCAGTTCCACACAATAGTGTCCAAACTAAAAGAAATTGGAGTAGATAAACATTCTTGTTCTTGTGTAGAACATTGGACTGTCATTAATGGTACATTTTCAAACTGGACAAAATTGGTGTCCTTCGGGATTCTGTTCTGGAACCGCTTCTATTTAACATATTTATACATTATCATGAAATAGGCATTGAAAGTCATGTTTCAGTTTTTGCAAATGACACAAAACTCTGTAAAGTAATACAATATAAGCAGGATACTAATTCGCCTCAGAGGCATTTAGGTAGCTTTGCGGACTGGTCATTAAAATGGCAGATGAAATGTAATGCAATCCCCTTCTCAGTGGTCTTACATGTTCCCAGAATGCACCACTGAATCTATAATGAATGCAGCGGCGAGGCTCATTTTTCTGTCCGCCCACACGTCCCACGCCTCCCCTCTCTGTCATTCCCTACATTGGCTTCCAGTTAGATATAGAGCTCAATGTAAGATTCTGGTGCTTGCTTACAAGTCCCTACATAATGCTGCTCCAACCTACCTATTCTTCCTCATACACAAGTATGTCCCGTTGAGGCCCGTGCGCTCTGCCGAAGACCTACGCCTATCCTGTGTCTATACTCCCACATCTGATGCCCGCCTCCATGACTTCTCCAGGGCTTTTCTGTGGAACTCCTTTCCCTTCTCCGTTACACATTCACCCAGTCTCCACTCCTTCAAAAAAAAAATCTTTGAAAACAAACTTCTTCAGTCAAAAAATAACTACAGTTTCTAGCCACCTATTTCATTACCCCTACTTATACCTTTTGTGACACTATACCCCATTCCCTCTAGCACGTAAGCTCATTGAGCAGGGCCCTCAACCCCTCTGTTCCTGTGCGTCCATTTGTCTGGTTACAATTACGTGCCTGTTAGTCCACCCATTGTACAGCGCTATGGGATTTGCTGGCACTATATAAATATAATAATATTGTAAAAAATGCAAAGGTATGTACTTTGGGGTAATAATCCACAAGCACCTTACACCCTAAATTTTAGTGAATTAGGGATAACTGCTAATTTAAATAAAAATTGAGAATTGTTATAGAGCACCTACTAAGCAATGTGAAGTAAAAGTTGCTAAGGCCAAAAAGGTATTATCATGTGTAATATTATGGCACTAGTAAATGTGCAGAGGTGGACTACAAAATTAATAAAAGGAATGGAACATTTGAATTGTGAAGAAATGTAACAAATTTAAATCTTTTTAGTTATGATAGCATTATACAAATATATTCGGGGGCAATACAAACCATTGTCTGAAAATCTATTCATAGACAGGACTTCAAGTCACACATTTACAATGGAAGAAAGGAGATTTAGTCTAACGCAAAGGAAAGGGTTTTTTACAGTAAGAATAAGAACAATTACCTGCCTGAAGAGGTGGTTTTATCAGAGTCTGTATAGATCTTTACACAGCAACCGGATGAATACTTTTTTATTTGTGGGGTAATAGCATTTTGATCCAAGGAGATATCGGGGGTTAAGGAGGATCTTTTACCTAGTTTGTTGCAAAATTGGAAAGCGCTTTAAACTGTTTTTATAAAACGCAACTGCATAAGTATCAGACAGAGACATTTTTCACTTAATATTAATCATACTCTGAGATGAATGCTTAACTACATTAATATTACAAATATGCAACGCTGCTATGCAGTAAATATTTTCTAAATGTTTTTATTGTCTTGTTACAGATGCAAACGCCAGGCTTGCATTCATACCGCAAGTGGTGCACCATGCTGGCGCAGTGAAGGTGTATGAAATAAATGCTGGAATAGTTCCAACACTTCTAGGCACTTTGAGTGGGAACAGGCAGTTTTCTCGCTTTGGAGCAAGCTTGCATTTGAGTGATCTAGACAATGATGGCCTTGGTAAGAAGAGATATTTTTGTTTTGTTCTTTTCATTTAAAGGAATAGTCTCTATACTTGGTGAAATATTATAGTGCTAATATTCAAAGGTGAACTATGACCCAGCAAATCTAACAAACTAATTACTAAAAAGTATCCTACCTTCTGTAGAAGAATTATTCTGGTCTTTGGGACCTTCTTGCATCCAAATCCTGGATTTGCTGGGCTAGGTGGATAATATCCCATGTAAGAGTCATGCAATACTATTGCCCCTTCCTCCTATCCCAATGTGTTTTGGGAGTGTATGATATACCAATGGGCTAGCCTAGGGATCCTCATAAGTGGGCCCTTGAGGGACAAGAGTGTAGGTTAGAGCTAACCACTTGGTTTCCAAATGTAGATACTGTTTTAAGGCCAAGGGTTGAGAATGTAACCAGCATGGTAACAACGAGGAAGTGTGTTGTGTATCGCAACAAATGTGGAATAACTTTCTAGAAAATGGGAACATTTCTAGATACCTGAAATCTTGAAAAATAACTAAAAATTTTCAATAATCAATAATAGTTATCCATGTTCTAGGTATATTAAATGTTGAAACTTGTAGCAAGATTGTGTTATTGCATTTGTGGCGGACCACTTGGCACCCCGATTGGGTACCTCCACCAATTGCAGCTTCCTAGTATCACCCAGTACTATAAGCAATGTAGTCCCCTTAGCCATGGCAGCTTGGCTGGGGTCTCTCCATCCCTTCCCACCCTGGACCAACCTCTGGATCCAGCTCCCAGTGGGAAGACCTCTCCTCCAAGAGAGTATAGCTGTATAGCAATCCAAAGAGCAGTAGAGCAAGTGATTATGGCATGTATAGACGAGGCTCTATGCTGTGCGTGAACTGGTTTATTGGGAGCCACACACAGGCTTTTATGCAACACCCCATGCAAGGGGTTTCCTAAATCACATTCCAGGGGCATTCCCTGCTGGACCTGAGAGTGAACAAGTTGCAAACAAACATCTAAATTAAGTTATCTCCCAGTAAAGAAAGCATGCAATATAACAATACCTCAAAAGTACTCCAAAAAAACATGAAAACCTCACAAACGTCACATACCCTGAAAGCCCCGATATGGGTGACCAACATATCCAAAAATCTCCCAGATCGGTTCAGGGGTTTGGATTTTCTATGGAAGTCAATTATTTGACCAACAGTGCACATGGTCCTATGCCCAAAACAGTTCTATGAAATCAGTGCTAACGGTCCGTCTCTTTCGGGAGTACAAAAGTACATAAAATACTGAACGGAATCCATAGTTAACCTGTGTAGCTTTTTCACCTTGTTCGTGGGAACGATTCCACCGACCAGTGGCCTTCTAAGTTGCATAGAACCGAACGCAGGCGATTATGGATGTCCAGCGGTGTTTGGGAGTTTCAGTGTTCAATTTCAGTTCCATGAACTCAACGACCAAACACCGCTGCCTGCGTTCATGCGAACAAGATGGCCGCCACCTCGTGGTCGTTCATACGAATTGCTGTCACCCAGGTGAACAATTAGAACACTGCAGTGGAACGCGTTGCAAGGTGTCAATTGAGCTTAACAAGCACCTGGATGGTCTCTGGTTCATGCGGCTGTTTGGTTCCCAAACCACATAACCCAAACCACACGAACAGAACTGTTTAAAGTGTGCTAGACAAGGTAAATTGCAGGGGCCATAGTCCTGAGGTAGGATGATGGAAAGCATGCTACTCCAGGAGCCCGTGGCGAGGTTCTGTTCGCCACAGCATTAATGAATGAACATAGCTCACAAAGTTGATTCCCAGTGTTACGCGTCTATGTGAGTGACATTGTTTTTATTTCATAGAGGAAGTCATTGTGGCATCACCTGCAAAGTCTGAAGATATACAATCTGTTTTCTTCGGCTCTCAAGCCGGACGTGTTTATATCTACAATGGAAATATTACATCTCCAAGTTTCCTGTCCAAACAGTGCAAGTCCTGGGTTTTTCCATGCCCAAAGGATTGGGTAAGATAGCTGCAGTCTCAATCTAAATACTATATATCCAAAACAAGATTTCTTGTTAACCCGATGCATTGCAGTACATTACTTTTCTGTACAGTACTTTGCAAAAGAAACGTGAATTTTTATTTAAAAATTGACAAATAGAACATTTTAACTACAAAGACCATAGAAATTAACTGAAGAGAGAAGAGTAGTCTTTGGCCAACATCTTTTCCTCAGGTGGAACAAAGCATTTCTGTTCCTTGTTGTGAATCTTCTATCACATCCATTTCATATGCTCACTCAATAAAGTTAATATTGTTTATTTTTTTATTTCACCACTGAGTCATCAAAGGTAAACCAGGATGTAGCCGTTGAAAATTCCAAATGACAACACACTATCAATGAATCTCTGGAACCAAGGAAATCCATGTTGTACATCTATGTATATGTTTACACATAGCTAATGTCTGTGTACTCAGCCTGCAATATAACCCCTCCCCCCTTTTCCTCGTTCTGAATCCCCATGTTTTTGACTTATGACAAAATAAAAAAACTGTCAATTGGGAAAAAAAAGAAAATTCCAAATGACATGGAATTAGCGGCTATGCTTACCAAGACGTATTCAAATTCAAACATTTTCAAACTATATTTTTTATTAAAACATAAAATTCGATTTTCTAAAAACCAAATGAATACCTTCCACTCAGTCAACTGAATGCATCAAATGAAAAACACCTCCAAATACCACTATATCAAAGTCCCTTTCTTACAAAAGGTTTCACCATATTTGAAAGTCATGTGTTGGGTAAGAAGCATGACCTGTAGACATCAAGGTAAAGCAGACACACAAAGCCAGGGCTCATTCTTGTTAAAAAGTTTATGGTGGAAATCAGATATGTGGATGTGGTAGCAATCTTAGGTTGACACGATGATATCCAATCATAATGATATAATTTAGCACATTAAAGAAAAGTTCTAATTTTCTGTTTTATTCAAGTGAATCAGATAGAAAGTCAGACTCCATTTTAGGTGATAATCCTACTTCTTCTGTAATCCCCAGGCCCAGAATGAATTCATCTCTCCTGAAGTAAGTATTAAATACATAATGCTTCAAAATAAATATCCTGTTATTGATACAGATATTTTAAATCTACTTGCTGTTTCAGGAAAAATCAAGCTTTGGAACATCTGTAATCACAGTGAAATCAAGACAAACAGTAAGCTTGTTTCTTTTCTCTTGCAGGCATATACAATCTCTTTTATATATATATATATATATATATATACCTGGATATTTCATTGCAGACTTAAAATAAGATTTCTGGGCACAGCATATTGTTTTGAAAAAAAAAAAAAAAATTGAAAGAGATAGCATGATAAACAATATAACAAATAACCGGAAATAAAAAAAAAAAAGTTATTAAAAGTACTTTTATTGAAAAAGTAAAAAAATGTAAGTAACAGTTTGGGATGAAAAGGATATATACTCTGCCATAATTGATGTGTATAATTTCCTTTACTGAAATACATATTACATGAGAGGGTTTTAAAGGGTTACTTCAATCACCATAACCACTACACCTCGATGTTTGTAGTGGTTATGAGGCCAGGAGCACTTTTGGCTAGTTCCCCGGTAATGAGCAAACAGTTTAGCAACCTGGGTACCTGCTCCGATACTCCCTGGTGGCCCGGTTTCTGCAGTCCCACAGAATTTATTCATATTGTAGATGTATTTTTGTTGCATGGATGCACCCATTAGGATATCACATTATTTACCTTTATTAATCTGTTTTTAAAGATGTTGCAATAAAGGGTTTTTAGCATCACACACATATTTTTGGGGAAAATTGCCCTTTATGTAAAGAGAGTGGTATGCAGTCTAGTTTTTAATTATGCTATACCTTTTTTACCCTATTCACAACCTATTAAATTAATGGTATATATATTACATACATTTTACAGACTGTAACTGAAAATTTAATTATTCTTGCATTATACTAACAAACTAATCACACGCTTTTTTTTCTTTTTAGAGACAAGTAGCAATAGCAGCTGAAAGTTCTTTGCATGCAAGACTTGCTGGTGTCATCTATTTGTATAATTTTAATTAAAAATAAGAATTTATAATAATTATATGCCTGTCATCATTACACACTACAAATATTATAGAAAAAAAAAATTTAATAATCTTAGTACGCTGCTCAAATATTGGTTTGCCATTTTCCGGTAGGGACTAAATGGTGGGTGGAACTGGAAAAGTCTCTTAAGAATTCTGATCTATTCCAGTCTAACATCTGGCTCATAAAACACAGCAGGCCTCTGTTTCAATTCCAGTGCCCTGGAACGCTTAACTCGATCGCATTATGGGATGTGCTGACTTTTAAACATGGAGCATGTAATGCCCCCTACCCTCTTATACCCATCCTTAGAAAGTTTCTACCCACCCTTTGACAAATGGGACTTTTGGCATATAAAGGATGTTGGCCTTCAAAGAATAAAAGCCTTGCAGTACTTTGCTATTCTAGTGCTATGATTTATGTGACTCAGTGGGAACAAGACTTAAATAAAGTATTGGAGGATAGGGATTGGAAGGATATACAGAAAACCCTTTTAAGCCTTGTAACAAAGTACTTATGAGATGGAATACCACTCGGGTTTCTTTATACACTGCTCAAAAAAAATAAAGGGAACACAAAAATAACACATCATAGATCTGAATGAATTAAATATTCTTCTTAAATATATTGTTCTTTACATAGTTGAAATGTGCTGACAACAAAATCACACAAAAATTAAAACATGGAAATCATATTTTTCAACCCATGGAGGTCCAGATTTGGAGTCACACTCAAAATTAAAGTTGAAAAACACACTACAGGCTGATCCAACTTTGATGTAATGTCCTTTAAAACAAGTCAAAGTGAGGCTCAGTAGTGCGTGTGGCCTCCATGTGCCTGTATGACCTCCCTACAACGCCTGTGCATGCTCCTGATGAGATGGCGGATGGTCTCCTGAGGGATCTCCTCCCAGACCTGGACTAAAGCATCTGCCAACTCCTGGACAGTCTGCGGTGCAACGTGACGTTGGTGGATGGAGCGAGACATGATGTCCCAGATGTGCTCAGTTGGATTCAGGTCTGGGGAACGGGCGGGCCAGTCCATAGCATCAATGTCTTTGTCTTGCAGGAACTGATGACACACTCCAGCCACATTAGGTCTAGCATAGTCTTGCATTAAGAGGAACCCAGGCCCACCGCACCAGCATATGGTCTCTCAAGGGGTCTGAGGATCTCATCTCGGTACCTAATGGCAGTCAGGCTACCTCTGGCGAGCACATGGAGGGCTGTGCGGCCCCCCCCAAAAAATGCCACCCCACACCATTACTGACCCACTGCCAAACCGGTCATGCTAGAGGATGTTTCAGGCAGCAGAACGTTCTCCGCGGCGTCTCCAGACTCTGTTATGTCTGTCACGTGCTCAGTGTGAACCTGCTTTCATCTGTGAAGAGTACAGGGCGCAAGTGGTAAAGTGCCAATTATGGTGTTCTCTGGCAAATGCCAAACGTCCTGCACGATGTTGGGCTGTAAGCACAACCCCCACCTGTGGATGTCGGGCCCTCATGGAGTCTGTTTCTGACCGTTTGAACAGACACATGCATATTTGTGGCCTGCTGGAGGTCATTTTGCAGTGCTCCTCCTGTTCCTCCTGCTGCTGGGTTGTTGCCCTCCTACGGTCTCCTCCACGTCTCCTGATGTACTGGCCTGTCTCCTGGTAGCGCCTCCATGCTCTGGACACTACGCTGACAGACACAGCAAACCTTCTTGCCACAGCTCACATTGATGTGCCATCCTGGATGAGCTGCACTACCTGAACCACTTGTGTGGGTTGTAGACTCCATCTCATGCTACCACTAGAGTGAAAGCACCGCCAGCATTCTAAAGTGACCAAAACATCAGCCAGGAAGCATAGGAACTGGTCTGTGGTCACCACCTGTAGAACCACTCCTTTATTGGGGGTGTCTTGCTAATTGACTATGAATTCCACCTGTTGTCTATCCCATTTGCACAACAGCATGTTAATTTGATTGTCACTCAGTGTTGCTTCCTACGTGGACAGTTTGATTGACTTGGAGTCACATTGTATTGTTTAAGTGTTCCCTTTATTTTTTTTGAGCAGTGTACATTATGGTTATAATGACCACTGACTGAGGTTACCAATGTGTAAAGGTTTAACAATTCTTGGCATTTGAATTTTTTGGGATATGAGTCAATTCCAGGACTGTTGGATGCACATTTTTTGCAAGCTAACAATAATTATCAGTACCAATCCGGTAGACAAATCGCTAAAAACTGTGTCGGCATAAGGGTCAAGTGATGTGGTGGTAAAAAGTAAAAATGCCTGCAGGTGTTGAAATATCTACTATTTTAATATTGATTGATTTAAAAAAGGAATAAAGTTTATTAAATATATTATATATATATTTTGGGAATTCATTTTTTCTTCATTGAAAGGGACACTATAGTCACCCAGACCACTTCAGCTCAATGAAGTGGTCTGGGTGCCAAGTCCCCCAGGTTTTAACCCTTCAGATGTAAACTGCTATGCTTACATTGCAGGACTAATCCAGCCTCTAGTGGCTGTCTTCCTGACAGCCAGCCGCTAGTGGCGCTTCTGCAATGCTGGATGCGAAAATACTGGCTCGGATCCGGCTCCGTTCCCCCCCTATGGACCGGGGGGTGATCCCGGTCCTTACACTGCAGACATGACCTCGACTCTGCTAATAAGGCCAAGGAGCCTAACCACTGCATCCAAAACGGCGGCGCCATGTGCGCGGACGG